TTTTTCTTTTTGGGTCACACCCGGCGATGCTCAGGGGTTACTCCTGGCTCATGCACTCAGGAATCACTCCTGGCGGTGCTCGGGGGACCATATGGGATGCTGGGAATCGAACCCAGGTCGGCCACGTGCAAGGCAAACGCCCTACCCACTGTGCTATCGCTCCAGCCCCAACAAATCACAATTTTTAATGTGACCTTTCTCTAGAGGCTACATGAGATTGGTCATGCTTCATGCTCCATGGCCAGATTTCTTAGGAGGTCAACTGAATATTCGGTCTTCCCGGAACAGCCACATTGTGTTGCCAGAGTCCGTGGAGAGTAGCGGGGATGGGGAGGGGACGAGCTGGAGATGTCTAAAAACATTTACATACTTTTATTTTTCTTGATTTGGGGACCACCCCCAGGAGTTCTCAAGGATGACTCCTGACTCTTGTGCTCAGGGATCACTCCTGACAGGCCCTAGGAACCAGATAGGCTGCAGGGGATCAAACCTGGGTCGGCCACATGTAAGGCAAGAGCCTACTGCTGTACTATTGCTCAGACTTCTAGGGAGAAATATTTGTTGTAATGAATTGACTCACACAGCTGGAGGCTCGCACATCTGCAACCTGCAGGTAGACCAGAAGGCTGGACAGCCAGGAAGAGTCTATACTGCAGTTCAAGTCTGAGGCAGGTGGAGGTGGGATTCCCTCTTCCTGGGGGGAGTTGGGCTTTTCCTCTTGAGGCCTTCATTAGATGAAGCCCACCACATAGGGATGGAAATCTGTCCTACAGATCTAGTTCACTGAGTTCAGGGTCAATCATTCTTCAAAGAACCTGGGCAACAACAACTCAACCAGTGTTTGATTAAAGATTTGGGTACCAGGTTCAGTACCCAGCATCCCATATTGTCCCCCAAGCACCTCCAGTAGGAATTCCAGAATTCCTCAGTGCAGAGCCAGAAGTAACCCCTGAGCACCACTGGGTGTGACCCAAAGCACCCCTTGCTTAAAAAAAAAAAAGATTTGGGTACTGGGACCTAACTAAACTGACACAGAAAATCAGCCATCACCTTTTCTCTGCACCATGGAAACTTAGCTGGGCTTCCGGGGAAGCGGGGGTGTGGTGAGGTGCTAAGCTTGGTAACTCCTGGGGGAGTTTCAAAAGCAATTCAAGGTCATCCCTACATCCCCTTTAGAGTCTGGGTCCTTTCCTAGAGGAAGAAACCAAGTCCTCCTAGACAAAGAAACCAAGTGCTAGAAAAACAGTTCAGCAAGTTGGCCCCAGTAATTCAGGGTGAGGATCAGGACAAAAGTCCAGCCTCAGTGGGAAGCAGATGGGGAGGAAGAGAACAGGAGATAGTACAGTGGTTAGGGTGCATGTCTTACATGCACCTGATCCAGGTTCAATTCCAAGAACCCCTGGGCATTCCCCGCAAACCTCTAGGTACCATGGTATGGCCTGCAGCAGTCTGGCATTCTTAGATATTTGCATTGAACTGGCAGCCTGGTTAGCTGAGAATTTCCAGAAAGGCCCCCCACCACCACCACCAGACCCTCTGAACACCACAGGGGAGCAGTTTCCCGCAATATCCAGCCCCACTGATAGGTATCTCGCAGCTCTCTTCATTAAAGCGCTCCACTCCACGAAGGCCTGGCTCCCAAGGCATCCGCTCACCTCCCTCCTCTCGGAACATTCTGGCGAGTCTGAGCGCATCACAGGCTGAGCCCCGGAGGAAGGAAATCAATTTCCGGAGATACCTCTGCTCGGTCCTCCCAACACTTGGAGCTTCCCGCCCAGGAGACCGACGGAGACCATTCCCAGAGACACCACTGTGAAAAGTGCTTTATTTCAACCATTTCTAAATCAGGTGCATTCAAAGGAAACCTCGCAGAACTTCACAGTTCCCGACCGAGGCCTTGTCCGAGAATATGAAGAGACCTAAACGCATCTGCTTGCAAGTTCAGAACCAAACATGGAACCAAGTCATGTAACCAAGGCCGAAAGGCAAATTGGGATGAAGACAAGACTTCACAAATCTAAGACGGATGGGGACTCCCTCGGAAAACACTATCACTCACACTCCAGACACCACCAGCTTGGGAAACAGATCCCCAGAGCGGATTCCCCAGGGAAACTGAGACTGCTACTGAGGACTGTGCCTTGTGCTTGGTTAAACACCAGGGGGCGCTGTAGGCTGCCAAGATAGGGCCAACGTGCCGCCAATCAGCCCGGAGGGCGGGGTGCCTGGTAGTTCTTATTTCCACCTCTCTAGGTAATTTCTCACTTCATCTGCTTCAAGCCAGGCTTTCTGTAAAACTGCTTATGGGGAGTTCGTATTGCACCATTAGAACTTCTCCAAGAAATATTCCTTGGTCTCATCTCTTGTCACCACACCAAGGTCTGGTCGCTTAGAGACCCTGAGATTTGTGTGTGTGTGTGCAGGAAGATATTTTTCTCTTGGAGATGAATTTGTGGCCCCAGGTTTCCTGAGCTCCAGAACTGGGAAATAACCCATCTTCAGAGTGCTCCATGCCCCCGCAGAACCCAAATGCACAGAAAGAAGTTTTGACAAGAGGTCACTGCATTGAGAATATTTTTGGTTTGGGCTATTATTTTATGCCAGTCTTATCTATAGTTTTTATAAAATGTCTCTATCTGGAGAGCTTGAGCACACAGGACTGTGTTCCTTCTGGTAGGGAGGAGAGAGAGGAGAGAAACTTTTTCTCTTCCAAGTCTCCAAACCCAATCTTGACCCCCGGTCTGGGTGTTTGCGTGGGTGGGTGGTTGCCAGGTTCTCTGACCTCAACCGGAACTCACAGTTGGGGTTGTACCCAGACCTCAGCAGGTCTGCACCCAGGAGGGGTTACTTGTGCTTGTCAATCACCCCCTAAAATAATCCCTCCCCCACCCCCATGTAACTCATCACCTTCCCGTGGACAGGACTACAAGAAGGTGACCATGTGCTTTATGCCGCATGGGGCTTGTCCTTCATTCGATCACCTTGAAACCCAAGGTCCTGGGAAAAGCAAGACAGATGTGGCCAGGCTCCTTTTCACAAGCTGAGGTGGGGGTGGGGGGGGTGACCGGAGGTGAGGGGGAGGGGGGAAGAAACAGGAGGAGAAAGGGGCGACCATATAAATTGGCCTTTTGTTCCTCACTAATTTCAGGGTCATTGCCCACAGTTACATAAACCCAGACAAAACAGTCAGGAGTTCAAAGCTGCAAAGTCATGTGATATCAGTGAGAAAATCTCAGGGAAGTGTCTGTTTCAGCGGCTGCCCTTTCAAAGGAACTTTCCCCAAATTCCCCACTGGGCCATGAGGATGTGAGGAACAGGCTGGGCAAGGGAGGAACTGCACAGGGTAGCGTGTGGCGAGCCGTGCAGGGGCTGGGGAGAGCTTGATTCCTGGACCATCCACCCAGCAGAACCCAAGTCCCGACACTGTCCCTAGAGGTCACAGCACCCTACGCCCAACAGAAGAGTCTGGGGTGCCCAGGGCGAGTGGTTCATCACTAACGACTCAATCAATGATTTAGAAGTTTGTGCTTCCTGGAAATCCCCCCTCCAGGTGCCCCCCGCAAGGAGAACGATGAGCCTCCCTCCTGTGAAGGTCTCGGACATTCATAATGAAAATGACTGGATGTTTTCCCAGTCATTTTCTCCAATGCAGAACTGAGGAAGCTTCCTTCCAGGCCCTCACAAAGGAAGATTCTTGGCACACTTTTGATTCCTGCACCGCAGGCGGAAACCCTCCCAGGTGCTAAGGCCCCCCGATTTCCAGCCCACACCCTGGAGCTCCTGGTGCTGCCTAGCGAGGGAGGAGGGTGAAGAGGCTTCAGCTGAACACCAGGTGGCAGCTGGCTGCCTGCGGTGAGCCAGCCCCGGGGCCTTGGGGGCAGGGACAGCCCTGTGCAGACCCCCCTCCTCACCTGCCCAGTTCCAGAGGCTCAGTGATAACCATCCTGCTGGCTTAGCTCCCTCCTGGCACCCTGCTTCTGGCCTTGGGTCTTCTTCCGTGGGTCACAGCACCTGGGCATCCAGCTATCTTCCCCCACCTTGGGGTCCCTTCTAAAGATCACCCCGGGAAGCAGAGGCCTCCCAATTCCATCCTCTCCCTGCCCCTGCCCAGGACAGCCCCTCTGAACCCCATACTTGCTTCCTGGCAAGTGGGGTCCTAGTTCAGGCACATCGTCTCCAAACTGGAGTGGGGTGTGGACCGAGGCCACCGGCTCCCTCCGTGTCTGCGGGCGCCCCACGGGTCTGTAAGTAGGGTGACTTCCTGACCGCCAGCCAGAGCAAAGCCACGAGCCAGCCGGAGTCATGAGGATGCCTGCACGGCCTGCTCAGGGCACTAGAATTGGGGTGGCAGCTGGGCTTGCAGAGCCAAACCTCTGGATCCCAAATGTCCCCGAGAGATGGCCCACAGGTGACCGGATATGCCAACCCCACACAGGGCATCACAAGCCCTCCAAGTCCCTGGTGTAAGAGCCTCGGGCCCTCCCTCTGGCTCCAAAGGCTGGGCTGCTTCCGGGTTCATTTCCCAGCATCCCCCACAGCTGGCCTGGCGGGAGGGAGGGGGGAGTGGGGAGGGGGAGGTCGGAGGTATCTCTGTCTGCAAAAGGTGAGCTGTCAAGACACAGGGGGCTGCTCCCTGGCACTCAAGGGAAGGATACATCACCTCAGCTGAACCCCCACAGAGCGGTGACAGCTCCGGGAAGCAGCCTTGATGCTGGTTACTTGGAATTTCATCATCAGTGAAAACATCCAGGTGGGCACGCAGACATGAGCTGTGCACATGTATGTACATATGTGTGCAGCCCACATGCACGCACACACACGCGCGCGCACACACACACACACACACACACACACACACACACACTTTAGGTCTGCCTTATAACAAAACTTGAAGTCCTTGTAAAGTCCTGGTAAGTGCAGAGAAGGAGGGTGGGACTCCGAGGTGGGCCGGCTCTGCTGCGTTTTCCCTTGGAGGGGAGCGGTGAGCTAGAGTCATTTGTGCTGGAAGGGCCGAGCCCAGCGTCCTGTGGGTTTCTCCTAGCAGAGACGGCCCCAGTGGTCCCAGATCCCCTCCTGCGGTCGGCTCAGATAGTTTCTGGGGTCTCTGATATCTCCTCCAGCCTCTGCCGAATCATTAGCCGGAGCACGGTGTACCTGGGGACAGGAATCACTTCAGCCGAGCAGGAAACAACACACTCCCCATCCCAGCCCCCCGGACACTCCCATCGGTGCGGACGGGCTGCCCTGACCCTCGGCGCTGCTCGTGGGCCAGCCCACGTGGGTTAGCCATGGTGCTGCCTGTGTTCGTTTCCACAGCAGGATGAACGCCAGCTGCAGAGAGCAAATCCAAACTGTGTGTCGGGAGAGGGTGGACGAGTAACCACCTCAGAGGGCTCCGTGGACTGAACACTGCATCAGGCCCTGCCCACGGCATCTCTTAGGTGCAGAATATACTAGACCACAGGACACGCTACTATTAGACCATCTGCCTCCAATAAGAGCAACTCCGTGTGGTCCCACCTCACCGCAACACCTGCCCTTGAAGAGGCTGAACATGGAGGACCAGGCACGGGGACCCAGGGACTGCCAGCGAGTGAAGTTTCATCTCTTTTCCCGGGATAAGCATCCTCTGAGCTCTATATTGAGCTCTATGACGATCTTGGTGTTGGGGACTTGGCACAGCATGGCACATGATATTTGTAGTGTCTGGCACCAGCTAAGTGTCAAATAAATGAAACCCCGCCTTTCCAGACATGATCGCCCAAAAATCAAATATAGTTTTGTTTTTTTCTCTCTCATCCTCTTCCGCCAAAAGTCAATCAACTTATCTGTCATATCCATGAAATACAATCTAATATATGTATACATATATATGTGTTTGTATATATACATATATATATGTATAATTCTTCCCTAAGAAAGGCTTTTAACTCAAGAACACCTAAGTAGAAATGTTCAACAAAGGGCTGGAGCAATAGGACAGCAGAAGGCACCTGCCTTGCATGTAGCCTATCCAGGTTCAATCCCTGGCATCCCATATAGTCCCTGAGACCTGCCAAGAGTAATCCCTGAGCACAGAGCCTGGTATAAGTCCTCAGCACCACTGAGGGTTTCCCCCCCTCAAAAAAAAAAAAAGAGTGTTCAACAGGGAGGAGGAAAGGTTTCAGAGGTTAGGGGCTCTTTCTACTGTTCCAGCTCACAGGAGCTTCTGGAAATCCCCCAGGATATTTTTTTTGTCTTGCACTAAGGGTCTATAACACAAAAGAGTGACCACTCCCATGTGGGATACAGGCTAACCAATGGGATCTCCTCTGAAAAATCCCAAGAGCTAGGTCCCAGAGGCAATTTTTCTATCAAAGGGCTGACACACACACACACACACACACACACACACACACACACACACACACACGGACCCCAGAAAGACATCCAACAGCAGCAGGGGCTTACTTGCGCATCAGCTTCTTAACTTCTCGGTCTTCTTCCTCCTGGAGCTTCTGAATGAAGCTTTTCAGGACGGGCATCTCAAATTTAATGTACTGTGCCACCTGGAGAGGAAGAAGAAGTCTGTCTAGGACATGTCTGAACATCCCAGAATGATGTTCGAACTTTCTGGCACATCTCTTGCAATAGGTACAAAGCTGTGAAAAATCTACTCTGCACTCATCCAGGATTTCCTCAAAAGCAGGAGACCAAGCCTGATTCTTCAGGAGGCCAGAGGGAGTAGAGCCGAGCGCTCTCAGTCCAAGACCAAAGCCTGGGCATGAGCTTTCTCTTGATCCAGGGAAGCAAAGAGAGAGATCAGAACCCATAACAGTCAAACTACTGTTCCTCTGGAATGTTCAGAACTCGTGGCTGAGAATGATGATTTGCCTTTCTAAGTTTCAGCCAGGCCTCCAAAATGTGAAGGCCGACCTGACTTCAATCCCGAGCCTCTGAGGAAGGCTCTGTGTGAGCCGAGGTTAACCACCCCCACCCTTCTCTACCCACCTGTTATCACTGTTCACTGTTACCCCTTGTTCATCGATTTACTCGAGGGGCGCTAGTAATGTCTCTATACCTCCCAGCTCTGAGATTTTAGCAGCCTCTCCTTACTCGTCTTTCCCAACGACTGGTGGCTCCTTCAGGGTCAGGGGAATGAGACCTGTTATCATTACTGTTTTTGGCATATTGAATACAACCACGGGTAGCTTGCCAGGCTCTGCCCGCGTGGGCAGGATACTCTCGGTAGCTTGCTGGGCTCTCCTATGATTTGTTGCCTAATGTCTGAACCCCATCAAATATGGTGTGGTAATTATGAAAATGGGAAGGAAGTGTCTTATGATGTGTCTGGCAAGTGGTCTGGAGCATGGCGGTGGTTGGGTAATGGAGGTCGGCTGCCGGGGCTGGGTCCCTTGGGGCGGGAAGGGCTCTCACCCACCCCACTCTGGGGAGCCCCGAGTGAAAAGAGTCTGGTGTGGATTCCCTCCCCACCCCAGTCTTCTTATGTTTCCCCACCCTGTTCCTGCTGGGCTTGGCTATGGCACTTGCTCTGGCCAGTGGGGTGGGTCTTGGCCTTTGGCCATTGAAACGGGAATTGCCTCATTCTACAACGATACAAGTTACATCCGAGTGGATGCTACCAACAGATTCAGTGGAATTGGGTCTGGCTGACGGACGGCATGCAAGCCAGCATCCTATAAGAACCATGTCCCCAGACATCCCTGTCCTGGGCGCCTGACTCTCAGAATGGCCACACAAGGCAGACCTGACTTCAGCCCCCAGCCTGCAGACACCCAGCACAGCAGTCAACATTTGGTATTGTCCGTGATTCCATTTGGGGGATGTTTAACTGTAGGCAAAACTGATGGATACCTCTCACCACTCAGCTCATGTCCTCCATCCAAGGCAAGAGGAAACTTATCTTAGGCTGCTCACTTCCAGGAGTGGCTAAAGAGAGGGACTGCAAACCCTTAGCCTGTTAGGAGCTGGAGTGAAAGTACAGTGGGGAGCGTGTTTGCCTTACATGCAGCTGACCCGGGTTCGATCCCCAGCATCCCATAGGGTCCCCCAAGCACCGCCAGGAGTAACCCCTGAGCATTGCTGGGGATCTGAATGGCCTCAAGAAATCTCTCCCTTCCACTACGTGCCCAAGCACCCTGCCCGCCTCTCTTGTGGACACACCCTTATCCCCGTCTTCCTTATCCCCACCCTCACCCCTATTTATTCTCCTGGACCCGCAGTCATCACTGCTTCAAGAAACCCAGGGACCGCAAGAAGGGCAGAGCAGGAGACCAGATGCCCCTAAGCTGTGCGCCCCGGCCCTTCTCCCAAAGACAGACCCCTGACCAGAAGACACTCACGTCATAGGTAACTTCTTCCACCTGGTCCTTCTCCATGAGGAAGACTTTGGAGACCTGCTCACAGGGGCCCTGCAGGATCCGGGCGATCAGCGGGTAGTCCGTGTTCTTCAGCTTCTGTTTCTCTGGGACACACACACACAGCCGGGGCAGCCTGAGGCCTTGCTCGCTGTACGGCCTAGACAACTCAGAGGCCCAGCGTGACCAGACACCTCCGCAGCTATGACCAGACTGATTTTTCATTGAGCAGTGATTAGAGAGGCTTTCCTCTGCTTGTTAGTTTTTTAGGGCCACACCGGAAGTGCTCAGAGATCACTCCTGGTGGTGTTCAGGGGACCGTATGGGGTGCTGGGGATCAGCTGCATGCAAGACAAGTGCCTTGCCTGCTGTACTACCTGCTCTCCAGCCCCCTTCAGAGGCCTTCTTAGAAGCAATAGTCTGCCCCTCCGTCACCCCAACGCCAGCACTGTGCCTCACCCCCCTTGGAAGAGGCCACAGTGAAGGACAGCTTCCAGCCACCTCTAGAGAAGCCAGCTCCATTGTTGAGAGGTGTTCGGTAATAAGACTTCTTGAGTGACCCTCTGTGACATTTCCTAGCCTCGGGGGTAAAGAACCTCTGGAAGCATCCAAGACTGAATGAGGCAGAAGGCATCTCTAACCTACCATTTCGAGCAAACTAACCCCTTCCAAGTGCAGCGTTCTTGGGACTTACCCCCACTGGTGTGGACCACGTACAAGGCGAATTCCTCTGCCGAATTCTCAATCTGTATCAGGAGCCAGAGATACTCATTGAGAGCTTGTGCTCGTACATGCTAACCTTGCGCCCTCCTCACACCACCCCCGTTTGCTTGGGAGAGGGAGTGTTTTGGAGCACATCCTGAAGTGCTCAGGGCCTACTTCTGGCTCTGTGCTCAGGAATCACTCCATACATGGTGTCACCACACATGGTGCCAGCAGCACCGGAGAGCCCTCCTGCACTCTCTCTCCTGCCCACTGTGTTCTGCCCAAGGGCTCCCTCGCCTGCTTTTTTTTTTTAACCGAATCACGGTGAGATACAGTTACAAGCTTTCATGTTTGAGTTTCAGTCATACAATGATTGAACACCCATCCCTCCACCAGTGCACATTCTCCACCACCAATGTCCCCAGTATACCCCCCTTTCCAACCCTCCCCCTGCCTCCATGGCAGACAATTTCCTCCATACTCCCTCTCTTCTCTTGGGCATTATGGTGTGCGATACAGATACTGAGAGGTTATCATGTTTGTTCCTTTATCTACTTTCAGCACATATCTCCCATCCTGAACAATCCTTCCAACCATCACTGTCTTAATGATCCCTTCTCTATCCCAGCTGCCTTCTCCCCCAGCTCATGGGGCAGGCTTCCAACTATGGGACAATCTTCCTGGCCCTTGTGTCTACTGTCCTGGGGTGTCAGTCTCAGGTTATTTTATACTCCACAAATGACTACAGTCCTTCTATGTCTGCCCCTCTCTTCCTGACTCATTTCACTTAGCCTGAGTATCCCCCGTTTTCTGCCCTGGAATACCTGCCTCAGGTAGGACCTTGCTTTCCTAATGCTCCCAGTCGTAACGCCTTGCCCGGAGAAGCCAGAGCTTAGGACCTCCAGACCCTCCACGTTGCCCTCACCCCACACTTCCCCGAGCCCCCACTGGGTCACTCCCTGGGGTTCCTGGAGCGAACGTGCCTTGAATTTGTTGAGCAGCAGCTTGAGGACCTGTGGGGTGCTCATGGTACTGTTGATGCGCACGTTGGTGACGGAACCGTAGGCCGGCGTGAACACGGACGTCTGCAAGACGGGGGTCATGAGATGCACTGTTCCCGGGAGCCGCAGGCTGGGCCCTGAGCCCCCACTAAGGGACACTAGAGGGGGGCAGACTGGGGAAGGCCAGTGGGACAGAGAGGGGCAGGCTTCTCCAAGGAGCCTCTGGGCGGCCCGGTGACTGGTGCCCCCAAACACACGCTTCCTCCTGGAGTCACACTCAGGGGGGACACAGGGTCAGCAGGCAGGGGGGCATGTGCTCAGCGCTCAACACCCCCAGGCTGGGTCCCACCACTCTGCCTCAGGGGCAGCCGTGAGCTCGAGCAGGGACAGGGTTGAGAAGATGAGGGGTGCCTATGGGTCCCCCACACCTGGAGGGCTGCTCGGACATCCCTCATGCTTCCCAGAGCCCCCAGACCTACCACTCGCCCCTAACCCCAAGGCTGAACAGCCCGCACTTGGTTTCCCAGGTGTCTCTGACCCTCAGGTGCTGCGACCCAGGAAGGGGGCTGCCCCCTCCTCCCCAGACCCTTCCCCAGGCCCTCCACCTTGTGGTTGTAGTAATGGCCATTGATGGAGAAGCGGTGGCGTCTGATTCGCCGCTGGTCACTGGGGGTCCTCACGTTGCCGCGGCGACGCACCCCGACGTCACTCCGTGTGCGCATCAGCTGTGGGGTGTCTTCCTGTACGGGCTTCAGGCCTCTGGAGTCTGGGAGGGAGGAGGAAGATGATTCTTTTCTTTTTTTTTTCCTTTGGTGTGTGGGATATGATTTTTTTCAAAATTGAATCTCTCAGATACATGGTTACAAAGTAGCTCATGACTGAGTTTCAGTCATACCATGTTCCAATATCCGACCTTTAAGTCCTGCACAAACATTCCAGGGAGCTCGGAGAACTCCAGCTCAATGCCCTTGGCGGAAGGACAAAGAGGATTCTGTCTTCCTGGCCCCCGAGACCATCAGCGGGAGCTCCTCAGGGTTAATGCTGTGGCTCCCACTGTCTCCCCACAAGCAGGGGTATGTGGGATAGGACTTCCTGTTTGGAGCTGGGGAGTGGGGACATAGTGTCCATTTACTGAGACATATCCAAGGAAGCGTTCCCTGCACAGGCCTGGGAGCCAGGGCTAAGGCCAAGGCCCAATTCATCATTCTCTGTGACTCACTTTTCTTATCTTTAAAATGGGGAGAGAAACCCGAGAGATCATGAGATCATGCAGCCTGTAGGGCTCCTGTCTTGCACACGGCCAACCTGGGATCAATCCCTGGCATTCCATATGGTCCCAGAGCCTGGGCAGGAGTAATCCCTGAGCACAAAGTTAGGAGTTAGCATTGAGAACCACCTAGTGTGGCCCAAACCTCCCCCCACTAAATAAATAAATAAATTTGGGCATCTAGGAGCCAGGGAGATAGATAGTTAGTTCAGTGAGCTGGAAATGTGCTTCACATGTTAGAAACCCAGGTTTAATCCCCAGTGCTACTTGGTCCCCCAAACACAGCCAGGAGTCACCCCCACATGACAAATCCTGACTAGCCTCTGAGTATCACCAGGTGTGGCCCTCAAAGAACCCCCAAAAGAAGAAGAAGAAGAAAAGAGAGACTAAAAGCACCCACCTCATAGGGTCATTGTGAGGATTGAGTGAATTCATTGGGATAAAGCACTCGGAACAGTGCCTGGCACGGGATAAACATGATCTCAGGACTTGGAAGATTTTGCAAACTCACAAATGCACAGGGCGAAAACTAACGTCCAGGCAACTCTGCTGGAAAGAATCCTGCAGACACTGACAGATGGGTGAGTTGACATGTGTCTCGCTAGGTCACCTACTGCAACTTTGCCCATCATAGGAAAGAGCAGATGCCACTTTGCAGTCTGGCCATTGGGAGCCAGGAGATACGTCGTCGTTTTTCCAAATGGTGGGCACGGCCCCGGTGCCAGGGTTCAGATGCCCTCTGTAGGTTTGTATGGACCAATGGCCACGACAAATAGAGAGGAAGAGGGATGTGCAGGATATTATAGCACAGAAAGAGAAAGAGGAAGGAGAAAAATGATACTCAGCCTGAAAGACATATTGGCATGTGTGGGCTTAGGTCAGTACAGAATTCCTTCTTGGGCGAGGGGCCTTCATCAGCTCCTCGGGAGAGACTGGGCAGAAAGTGGGAAGAGCAGGGGAAAAACTGAGGGTTTTGTTTTATTGAGGGGGGGTGGTTTGGGCAATACCTGCTGGTGCTGGAGGTGGGGGTGGGGACGACTCAAGATTCTGCGGTTGGAAGTCGCCCCTGGCAGTGCTATAGGGAGAATGCAGAGCTAAGAATCAAGTCCAGACCGCATGGAGAGCAAGCATGTGCTCAGACCCTTTGGGCCGTCTCCCCATCCTGGTTCTTTCTGCCACTCATTCTCTGCTGCTGCTGCAGTGCTCATGGGTCACAGAGCTCCCCTCTGGTGCTCACTGCAGGGCTCTGTGTGGTGCTCACACACATGCTCGCTGGGGGGGGGGGGTCACACTCCTAGCTGTGGTGATCACATATGCCTGACTATGCGTCAGAGGACACACACTCTATTGTGATGCCAACAGCTCCAGACAGCAAAGAGAACCCAAAGTGTGTATGTGGGTGGACCAGGGATCGAACTCAGGGCCTCACTCTTGCTAGGCAGGTACTTTCACAGCCACGGAGCCCTCCTGCCAGGCCTTAGAGTGCACTCTTTTCTGCCCCCTTTGCATTTTGAACCCTGTGGGGTTTATTTATTGAGCAGATAAGCAACAGGAGACATGGACGCCACCAATCCTTGCGCCGCTGTCGCCCGACTCAAGGGCTGTACCTGTTGGACTCAGTTTCTCCTCACTCTCAGCCGGCGCGTCCACCTCCGAGATCTGAATGTCAGGCATGGTGAGGGGCTTCAGGATGGTGCTGCGGGAGGGGAGAAAACCTGGTGAGCCCTGGGGAAGGAGGCCCAGCCCCGAGCCCCCCTCACTCCTGTGTTCCCCAGTGCCAACGTGCACCTGGCCTCGAGGGGGGTGGGGGGCTGTGCTGAGTGCCAGTGAGGCTGGCCCAGCTCCCCTGCTGAGCACCGGGCAGGGGTGGGGATCTAGAGGGAGAGTCTGATTCGATAAGTCTGCAGGACCCCAGCCCCCCAACCCATCCAACCCAGGGCCGAGCAGAACAAAGAAGAAAACCGGCAGCTCTGTTAAGCCTGGGGTTGGTTCTAGAGCTGACTTGGAATCCCCTTGTCACAGTCATTCACTGCTCAGCACGGGATTCCCGCTCCAACCGTTTCTGCTGGAGGAGGGGCTCAAGATGCTTCTGGCATCTGAAGGGACAGGAACGGCGATTACTCGGGCTCACAGGGGGCCGGGGAGCACTGGAAGAGGTGCTGGGGACAGTGAGCTCAGGTCAGGGGAATGAAGCCCCCAACAACACTGGAAACGGGTAACCCCAAGCAGCCTGAGCTGACCGGGGTTTGGCCTGGCCCACTGGCGAAGAACTGCTCTAAGTCGAAAGGACGCAGCCTCCAGAGAGGTGAGTCCCACTGAGCTAGTTAGCACCATCCAGGAGGAGGATGAGGGGGCCCTTCCGGGAGCCAGCGCAGAGACGCCCCATGCTGGGCAGTTCTGGGCGTGGGTAATCTGGGAGCTGCAGACGGTACAGCGGGCAGGTATGTGCTTGCCTCACACACAGTCCACCTGGACCCTGTGGATCTCCTGCACCCGACAGACACCCCCGAGCCCACCAGGAGTAAGGTCTGAGCGCAGAGGCAGGAGCAAAACATGAGCACCAACTGGGTAACCCCCCAAAATTTTTTTCCAAAAAAGCTGGTAAGTCTGAAGAAACTTCCTCTCACGGAAGAGGGACTTTCGGAGCCCCTGTATGGGGACAGCTGGGGAACCTGGGAAATGGGGCCACTTGGCAGCTACCATACGTTGAAACCAGGCTCCGTGCCCTTACGAACACAGCGGCCCAACTGCCACCGGAAAACATGACTCACCATCCCCACACTTTCCCTAAAGGCGTTTGCAGGGTTCAAGAACCGGCCCAGCCTGCGGCTACAGGGTAGGGAGAGGAACCCAGCGTGGCCGGGAAGGGGCCCCTGGCAGGCCCGGCCAGGGGCTACGGGGCGGGCTGCAACTTCAGTAATCATCTCTCTTCGGAACAGCATGTCCTATTGCCGGGCGGGGGGCTGGGCCCCTTGGAACTCAGCAGAGCCAAAGCACGAAGCCGGCCAAGTGAGAAGCAGCCAGAGAAAAAGCCGGGGCCAGCAACCGCATCCAGGGGGAGGGCAGGGGTGCCCGCCTTCATCTCCCGGGAGGAGTCCGGCCAGCTCCCGGCCTGGACCACAGAATCCGTTTCTCACCACTGGAGGGAGAGACTTGACTAGGGGGTTGAAGGCGATATTTAGAGTGGCCATCAAAACGGGGCTGGGCTCTCCTCTAAAACACCCCTGTGGTTGGGGCCGCGGGCAGCACCCCAGGCTCTGTGCACCCTTCCGGGCTGGGCTGGCCTCAGAAGTTTCTGGAAGCTAAACACTGATGCTGGGGGAAGAGGCGAGCAAGTCTCACGCCAGGCAGGCAGCTACTCATGGGGCAGCAGGGAAGGCAGGAATCGGGCTCGTCCTCTCTGACCTGCCAGCGGAGACTCGGAGGACAGAACCTTCCAGATGCCTGACCAGCACATGCCCTCCCACCCCCCAACTCCCGGCCCCTGGCTGACCCCCTTAGTTGGCACAGAGCTGACATTCCTTTCCCTCTTCCTCGTCCCCCCAGGCCCAGAGAGCTGGTTCGGAAGGTTTCTGCCCTCCCGGTCTGTGGCACAGGATTGTCCTGTGAGAAGGGGCCCAGCAGGAAGGCCCTGGGTGTTGGGGTACCCCACCCATCATCTGCAAACAGGGCCTGGCGAACTGCTGGTCCCCCCCCTCCACACACACACACACACATACACACACACACACACACACACACATTTGGCTCCCGGGGCTGGAGCGATAGCATAGCAGGTAGGGTGTTTGCCTTGCACACAGCCAACCCCCGCATCCCATATGGTCCCCCAAGCACCACCAGGGGTAATTTTCATTTCATTTCATTTCATCATCCTGTTAATCGTCGATTGCCTCGAGCAGGCCCCAGTAACGTCTCTTTCATCCTAGCCCTGAGATTATATTCACGGCTCTTTAGGAGAATGAGACCCATCATTGTTACTGGTATTTGGCATATTTGGTAGGCCACGGGGAGTTTGCCAGACTCTGCCCTGTGGGCAGGCTACATTCGATAGCCTGCAAGTTTGTCCAAAGTAGGAATGAGATAATAAGATGTCATAAAGAAAAGTTCTGATAAAATGTCGCGCGGGCGCGAATGCAGCCGCGCGGTTCCGGGATCTGGGTAATTGCTGAGTGCAAAATCAGGAGTGACCCCTGTGCATTGCCGGATATGACCAAAAAATAAATCTATGGTTCCCATGGGCACCCATGATTCCCTCTCACACTCAGTGTCTCCTCTTCTTGCTCTGTCACAGTTCCTCTGGAGACAGGCACAAAAATAGGGTGAGGCCCACAGTCAGTGCCCAGACCCCAGCTCCCCATCTCAGAGGCAACAGGGCACAGGCACCAGGTTCAAGGCCCGCGGAGAGAAGTTCAAGGCTGATCTGCCTAAGGACACCCAGAGGCTGGGCCCGCACCCCCACCACCCCCACCCCCGCCCAGCCCGTCACCCGCACTCACCTCTGTGCCCCTAAGTTGCAGCCCGAGTGCCAGGAAGAGGAGGAGGGGGGCGGGCGGATGCGCTCGTGGTCGTCCTGCATCTGGAGGCGGATGGGCCGGCGCAGCCCCCAGGAGATGTTCAGCAGCCCCTCCACGATGAACTCGTCCTCCTCCTGCCGCAGAGCAAACACGCTGCACCCCCACCACAAGCCAGTGCCACCCTGTGATGGGTCCTGGCTGAGCACACCAAGGTAGGGTCACAGGGCAGGCGGCAGCCACACCCCAGCGGGGAGACATGGCCCTGGAGCCCCTGAGGCTGACCTGATAGGCCAGCGCCAAAGCGGCCTGGAAATGCAAATGCGCAGGCGCCATCAGGAAAAGCTCTTTAGGCCCCGAGAGACTAGCCAGGAGGCACCTGCCCTGCAAGAGGCAAACCCAGGAAGGAGGGAAGGAGGGAGGGAAAGAAGGAAGGAAATAAAAAAGGAAAAAGGAAGTCGAAAGGAAGAAGGAAGGAAGGAAGGAAGGAAGGAAGGAAGGAAGGAAGGAAGGAAGGAAAAAGGAAGACAAAAGGAAGGAAGGAAGGAAGGAAGGAAGGAAGGAAGGAAGGAAGGAAGGAAGGAAGGAAGGAAGGAAGGAAGGAAGGAGGGAGGGAGGGAGGGAGGGAGGGAGGGAGGGAGGGAGGGAGGGAAATAAGGTGAAGGAAGGAGGGGGTAGGAAGGGGAAGGAAGGAAGGGAGGAAGGGGGAGAGGGAAAGAGGGAAGGAAGGAGAGAAGGAAGGAAATAAAGGAAAGAGGAAGGAAGGAAGGAAGGAAGGAAGGAAGGAAGGAAGGAAGGAAGGAAGGAAGGAAGGAAGAAGGAAGGGAGGGAGGGAGAGAGGGAGTAAAGGAAAGAAGGAAGGGAGGGAAGGAGGGAGGAAGAAAGTAAAGAAGAAAAAGGAAGAAGAAAATATGCTAGAATTTATAGAGTATTCTGTTACAAGAGTTCAAAAATTAAACAACGGGAACAGAGAGATCGTACAGCAGTAAAGGCACTTGCCTTGCATGAAATTGACCCCAGTTCAATAACAGACACCACAAATGGGCCCCTGAGCACAGAGCAAGGAGTAAGCCGGGAGCACTGCCAGTATGGCCCAACCTCCCTCTCCCACACAGTTTATCTTTATACTAGATGACTTTCAAGAAATAACAGACACCATCTCTTAAAGCGAGACTGGCCTTGCTGACAGAAACAAGGACTCAGCTCTTGAATGAGCTTCTTGCCCTCCCCGCAGTGGAGAGCTCCGTGTCTGTGAGTCTGTTTAGCATCTGACAGGCTGCTGGGAGGAAATTCAAAGCATCCTCCCTCTGTTTGTGCAGTAAGGAACCACCTAGCATCCCTAGCAGATTAACTGTTCCTCTAGAGAGGGTGTCAGGGGAAGAAAGAGGTGTGAAATGATCATGAGTTGGGATTTGCCGTATAATTCAGATTTCCTTGTGGGAGGGGTTGTCTGACTCAGCGGTGCTCTGGGGATTATGTGGTGTCCAGGAACCTCGGGTTCCAGCACACAAAACAGTGCTCCAGCCCTTAACCACACAACTTCGCAGAGTTTCTAATGAGTGAGTGGGGGAGATTACCACTCTCTGAGCTGTCATCTATAAATAAACCCTGCAAGAAACCCAAATTTACACTCCAGGGTTGCTGACTGATGAGAAGTTAAATGTGAAATCCTTCTAAAAGGCCTGAACATTCACACTCACTGCATTTGTGAGCGTGAATCGCTTTCATCATCAAGCATCTTAAGAATTTATTCTGTGGGGCTGCTCCCCTGGTAAGTACAACTGTAGTAATGAAGTCTACCCATCAATCATACTGAAAACATCTTTAAGTGAGAAAATACGGAGATTTCATTATTTAATGGCAAGACAGACCACAACTAGGAAGTCACCTGAAAGAGTGGCCCCAGGCAGAGGTCCAGAGCACTTTTACAGGACTTTTTCTGGCAATCTAACAAACAGTAGGACAAAGAGCAGAGCAAGACAATGGGGTTTTCTTGATTGGCTTTATCGTGATGATACACTTGGGGACACTGAGGCAGGAGGGACACTGCACAGGACTGTGAGGAGGTCCTCGCTGGGAAAATCTCTGGTGGATACATTCTGTTTGGGTCCTGTAGACGTTTATTAACCTACTAATTGTTCTTTGGACCCACTCCCCTTCCCACCTAGGTAGCAGGCAGGTGGGGGTCCTTCTGGTCTGCTCTGGTCAGCATTATGATTTATGACCTATTCACAGCCCAGCTCCCCCACGGGCCACTCAGACCTCCTGCCCCCGGTTGCCTCCCTGGTAACTGTACTTAGTGACCTGCTTTTGCTTCTAACTTTCCCATCACTGCATCAATACATCAAGAGAAGGCATTTCCTAATGCAAAGGAGCACTGGGGAGCACAGTGAAACTGCAATCTAACCCTTACATATCACACTAAAATTTTGCTACTATCAGTCACTCATCTGCAGAAGCTTTGAGGAAAATCTCTAAAAAGGTCTAGCACTCTTTACAATAGCCAGAATCTGGAAAAAACCTGAGTGCCCAAGAACAGGTGACTGGTTAAAGAAACTTTGGTACATCTACACAATGGAGTACTATGTAGCTGTTAGAAAAGATGAAGTCATGAAATTTACATACCAGTGGTACTACATGGAAAGTATCATGTTAAGCGAAATGAGTCAGAAAGAGAGGGATAGACATAGAAAGATTGCATTCATCTGGGGAACATAAAATAGCAAAATAGGAGACTAACACCCAAGAGTGGCTGAGATTACTACCAGGAGGTTTGCTCCATGGCTTGGAGGCCAGCCACACATGCTAGGGGACAAGGGAGCTCAGACAGAGAAGGAAGCACCAAATAAAGGGTGTTGGGAGGATCCTCCCAGGATGGGAGAAGCATGCTGAAAGTAGACTATACACCCAACATGACTGTCACTCAATGCCTCTTTTGCAAACCACAACACCCAAAAGGAGAGAGAACAAAAGGGAATGCCCTGCCACAGAGGCAGGGTGGGATGGGGGGGGCTGGGGTGGGGGAGGGATACTGGGATCTGTGGTGGTGGAAAATGGGCACTGGTGGAGGATTGGGTATTTGATCATTATATAATTGAAACCCAAGCACAAAATTTGTAAGTCTACAACTGTACTTCATGGTGTTTCACTAATAAAAATTAAAAATAAATAAATAAATAAAAAGGGCTAGCACGAGCTGTGCTTGCATGGCAAGAACGTCTAGCCTGCCCACCCATCCACAGCAAAATGTCCCCCACCATGCCAGGCACTTGGTCCCGCTGTGCTCCTGCCCACCGCTGCCCTGTCCAGCCTGACACCTTCCCTCGCATACACATGCAGCGTTTTGATAATTATTGATTTTCAATGTAAAAATAATTAAATAAATAGGGCCAGCACTAGAACCATAGTCCGGCAGGTAAGGCACTTGCCTCGCACACAGCGAACCCAAGCTCGATCCCCGGCATCCCATATGGTCCCCTAAACCCTCCAAGAGGGATTCCTGAGTGCAGAGCCAGGAGTAAGCCCTGAGTATTGCCAGTTGTGGAACACACACACACACACACATACACACACACAAAGATTAAAAAATATTTATTTATTTATTTGCTTTTTGGGTCACACCCAGCGATGTTCAGGGGTTACTCCTGGCTCTGCACTCAGGAATTACTCCTGGCGGTACTGGGGGGACCATATGGGATGCCAGGAATTGAACTCAGCCACGTGCAAGACAAATGCCCTACCCACTTGTACTATTGCTCCAGCCCTAAAAAAAATTTTTTTTAATTAAAAGTCCAGCCCCCTTTGCAGAGTTTTGGTTTCTGAACCAAATATGGGGTCGGAAGGCCTCACCCAGCACTGCTCAGGTCTTACTCCTTGATGCGGGCTCAGTGATGACTCCTAATTGTGCTCAAGGATCTTAGATGGTACTGAGAATCAAACCAGGGCCAGCCGCATGTAAGGAGTAAACACCTTACCTGCTCTATGACCACTCCAACCCCCTAGGAGCCAAATCATCCGGCCAGGGCTCAGAGATTAGACCCAGGTCATCACCAGCTGTGTCTTCAGGCCCACGTTGTAGCTACCAATGGCCCTGGCTTGTGAATAACAACCCCATCATCATCTTTAGAGAAATGGGGAGTAAAGGGGGCAGGAGAGGCTAAAGCAACATTGGGGTTCCAGGGGTCTTGGGGAAGGATCGTTTGCATTCAGAAATAGGTCATAGACTAATGGTCCTGAAGGCTGGAACTGCATCTTAGATCACATGATTGTAGGACAGAGTCTAACTCAAAGTAAGACTTTGCCTAAGTGGAGTGATTCAAAGGATAAAGGGAAGGCCATCATGTCCCTCTGTCTCCAGCCAGAGATTAGACCCAGGTCACTGGTTTGGTAGCTGAAATTCTATCATCAGCGATCCCTCTCTGTGGATTAAATCGCCATGGCTCCCCACCCTGAAAATGAATCCAGAAGAGGCATCCGCATGCCTTCTTATCAGTCAGGAACACTTGTGTAACTTACTCCGCCAGGCTCCTCTATAACTCAGCATCTATCTGATAATGGTGTCACAGAACTGAATCCAGGATAAGTAAGCTTAGATTCAGGATGGGGGCAGGGCAGAGACAGGGGGATAAGAGAGGGCCTTTCAAGAAGGAACCCTCAGGGACCGGAGTCATAGTACAGCAGGGAGGGTGTTTGCCTTGCATGAAGCTGACTCAGGTTCGATCCCCGGCATCCAATCTGGTCCCTCCGAGCACTGCCAGGAACCCAAAAAGCTGCAATTGTAGGTCAGGGACAAGGGGCGCCCTCCAGAGCTTGTCTGCCTGCCCGGGTTGCTGCAGCAAAGGGACAAGGGCCTAAATGAATACACAATGAGCGCTGGGGAAGGTTTGACTCCCAAGCAGAGGAAGCTGCTGGTAAATCATCTCAAAGTCCTTCACAAAGTCCTTCAGACTTAACCTCACCTGGTAGGCTCATGTTAGCTCACCTGGACAGGCACTGGACTACCCCTGAACAGAAAACCTCATCTTTTGTGGAAGGAGCTGGCCACACCCAACAGTGCTCAGGGCTTGCTCCCAGCTCTGTGCTCAGGGATCACTCCTGGTGGTGCTCGGGGACCCCATGGGGAGCTGCGGATTGAAGTCGGTTTGGCTGTGTACAAGGCAAATACCATACCCAGTGGACTATCACTCCAGCCCCAGAGTTCATCATTTCTAAGAACAGAATGAGACCTGGAATCTCCTTCCAGAGAACTCCAGTGAATCCTAATGTCCGAGAGGCCTCTCATTGTGGCAGATCCCAGGGACATGGGGACAAAGACCAAACTCTCCCAGCTGGGAAGAAGCCTCTTGCAGTGTCCTGGAACTCCTCATCCTTACCTCACGGTGTCGCAGCTGCAAATTCTGGCCTTCATAGTACAAGTTATAGGTCTTCAGATGCAAGAGAAGTTCATTCCTGGAGCGTGGAGGAGGGAACAGAAGTAACATTCTCAGAGAAGCCACTTCAAATGTGGTTGTTCCCTCCTTTCCCCTGGAACCCAACTTTCAGTCACCCCAGGTTTGTCCACGTGTGTCTGGCCGCACCCAGAGTTCCATCTCCTACACCACCACCCCACCTGTCCCACCATTCCTGGATTCTCCAGGGTCAACATCAAGAATAAACACCAGTCTAGAACATCAGTGGTGCCTCAGAGATCGCACAGTGGGTAGAGCATTTGCCTTGCACGGGGCCAAACCCAGTTCGATACCCAGTATCCCTCGAGCACTGCCAGGAGCAATTCCTGAGCATTGCCAGATGTGGCCCAAAAAGAAATAAATAAGTTGAACACCAACGGAAGGAGTAACTCCAAAAAGTGGGGCAGAGCAGGTCTGCTCCAATAGTAGTCCCCAAACACAAGCTGAATGGGAAGGCCTTAGCCAGTCAGAGGCAAACACACTTCCGGCCCGCAGACGGGGCTTCTCCAGAGCCTCTCTCACTCATGCATGCTGTGTGCTGACTGACCATCAAACAGATCTTCAGTGGGGCTCAGAATCTTCAAGGCTTTGCAGAAGGTGCAAAGGGACAGGTCTGTGATCTACCGATGATGCTTCCTAGGCATGACCCGCTTGTGAGGGCAAAAGCTTTCAAGCTTCTCTCCATGGTGGAATGAGGAGAAAAAGGCAGCTCTTGCCACACAGAGGAATATTCCATAGCAACGTGATGAAGCAATGCGAGCTGCACCATATCCTCCCCCCCCCACCCCTCCCCCTCGCTGAGTCTCACAGATGCCGTGTGGAGTGAAGGAAACCAAACGCAAAAGGGCACATTGGCCAGCATGCCTGAGATGAGTTTCAGAGTGAGTGTTAGAGTTCAAGGCAGGGGTCACTCTGGTGAGGCTGACCAGAATGGGCAAGGGCTGAGGGACTTCTTTTTTTTTTTTTTTTTGGTAATTGAATCACCAGGAGATATACAATTACAAAGTTGTTTCAGTGATACAATGTTCCAACATGTGCCTTCACCAGGGTACACTTTTCAGCACCCATGTCCTCAGTTTCCACCACACCCACCCCACCAGCCTACCACTTTTCTTCTCTCTCTCTGTCTCTGTCTCTCTTTGTCTGTCTCTCTCTCTCTCTCTCTCTCTCTCTCTCTCTCTCTCTCTCGGTCTGTCTCTGTCTCTGTCTCTCTCCTCTCCCCCCACCCTTTCTGGGTATTACAGTGTACAATACAGGTACGTCACCATGTATATTCCTTTACGTCCTTTCAGCACTCAGTTTTTGTCCAGAGTGATTATTTCCAACTGCCATGGTCATAGCGGTCCCTTCTCTCTCCTAATTGCCTTTGCCCCACTGCACCCCACAAAGCTTCCAACCATGGACCAGTCCTCCTTTTAGGGTGAGCGACTTTTGGGCCCTGCCTAGAACATTTTCTTCTAGGTAATTTGAAACTTTCACCTCATTTCAAATTTAAAAAAATTAAGTCTGGAGAGATAGTAAAGCGTGTTAAAGCACTTGCCCAGGTGCAGTGGACCCCAGTTCAATCCCTGGCATCGTCACATCTGTTCCCCTGAGCCCCAGCAGGAGAAGGCCCTGAGCAACACCAACTGTGGCCCAAAAGTGGTCCCTTCCCCACCTCAGTTTTTTCAGAAGACTTTCAAAGCCTGATATCTAATCTTATTGGGGAAGGGGGCGTCCCGTGGAAGCGTAGCTCTCCTGTTGAGGAGAGAAGCCCACCAGCTCATGAGCCCTCAGCTCTCTGAGAACATGTAAGGGAATCTGAAAATGTGTTTCTAAGGGCTGGGCTGGGGCTCGAGGCAGCTGTCAGGGCCTTTTGCCTCCTCCCAGGCCAGTGAGGGGGGTGTTTGTTCTCTCTGCATCCACTCATGCAGGGGAGAAATGTGGGGTCACACCACAGGCTAAAACTGGATGAAAATGCCATCAAACCCTGACAAGTTAAACCCAGATAATTTGGAGTGATGCTAAACAAGGCAAAATGAACTCGGGAAAAATGTGACTCCAAATAACTTTAAACAAAATGTGTCTGACACTCTGGAACACGGAGATCTGAAACTAGATGGGGCCTGAAATGACTGACCGGGGGCGGGCAGGAAGTTTGGAACAGAGCTGGGAGGGCACTTGCCTTGCTCAAGGCCGACTCGGGTTTGATCCCTGGCATCCCACATGGTCCCCCAAGCACTGCCAGGACTAATGCCTAAGTGTAGGGCCAGGGTTAACCCCTGAGCATCGCTGAGCATGACAAAAACCACGCCCCAAAACAATTTTAATTAAATTTTTAGGAAAGGTTTGGAGCACATGCCTGGCATGCACAAGGTCCTGGGTTCAGTACCTGGAGCCTCCTCAGTCTTGTGAGCACCACATGTAGCCATGGTGGCCTCGAGCACTGCTGAAGAGCAATTCATTCATTCATTCATTCATTCAAGGAAAATAAAACGACTGGCCAGTAAAAATACTGGGAGTTTATCTGCTTTAGGGATGAACAGATCAGCATGATTTCAGTTCACACAACTATGTGTACTCAGCCAAGAGTTTCTAATGGATGTAAAAACAACTTTGCCAGGGCCACAGAGAAATAAGGTCCCTTGCCTTGCTCACAGCTGAGTTCAATCCCCTGAGCAACCCCAGGAGTGATCCCTGAGCATGGAGCAGCCCTGAGCACCGCTGAGTATGGTCCAAAACACCTCCTCGCTCCCCAAAAGAAAAACAAAACACTTTGCTCCAGAGGAGTTAAATACTCAGTGAAGATGAGATCATCCAAGAGATACAACCCCTGTGCTGCGCATAACCACAAATCCTCCAAATTCAAACACACACACAAAAAAAGGCAATTTAGGCTCAAATCTGAATCCTATTACATCAGCCAAAACTTGAGTTACAAGGTATTTCAGAGGTTAGAGTCACAAAACCAACCGTGTCCTCTGTACAGGGGACATCTGTTCCTAGTTCAGCCAAAAGTCAGCAGCACAGGGAGGCAGGCAGGCAGGTTTCTGATAGGAGAGGACCTAGGACCCGACCATGAGCAGTCAGCACCATCACCTCCTGGAAGCTCTCCATGACTTCAGAGTTCCAGAGTGCCATGTCTTCAAGCTGCCCTTTCCCTCACTCTGTGGCTTAGGGAGGCTCACAGGGGCAAGCTTTTACGCACAACAATGACTTGTTCTCAATAGTGCACTCAGCTGCCACTCCCACACGTGATCCCACCACTCATGTCCAGAAGACCCAGAAAAAAAGTCGGTAACAAAGGCTCTTACTTGGAAATGTATTTATCCTGTCCGCACGGGACGAGGGCAGTTGGATGACCGTAGTCCATATCTCCTTTCTCTTGTCATCAGAAGGAGAGGCCTAGATTTGAAAGGAGACAGAGGGTCAAGTCAGATGGGGCGCCGAGAAGTTCACTGAAGCTGGGCTCGGGGTGGAGTGCCAGGCTTCAAGCACTTGCTGTGCTGGATCCCCAGCACCTCGTGGTCTCCCAAGCATCACCAGAGGCAGCCCTGGAGGCCCGCGAGCAACTCCGAGGGTGACTCGTAAATCCTGGCACTGCAGGACACGAGAAGCAGCTCATCTTCGGGCCCTAGATCTGATCCCCTACCCTGACTGGCTGAATGACGGGGAAGGAGCCCTGAGCCCCAGTTGGGAGTCCCCCCCCTCTCCCCAGTAACCCAAGCCTGCCATGTAGCTCAGCAGTAAAGCACGTGCCTTGAAGGCATGAGATCTGGGTTTGATCCCCAGTACAGAAAAAAATATACATGTGTAGGCATAAAATATGCACAAAACTGGAGCTGGAGCTAATGTACACAAGGGAGGGTGTTTGCCTTGCACATGGCCGACCCGGGTTCCATCCCCAGCAGCCCATATGGTCCCCTGAGCACCGCCAGGAGGGATCCCTGAGGGCAGAGTTGGGAGTAACCCCTGAGAATCATCAGGTGTGGCCCCCGAAATCAGAAATAAAAATAACTATGCATAAAATAAATATGCATAAAATGTGTAGGAGTAAAAGGGAAGCCCATTTATATAAATAGGATACTCAGATAGATACACGTCAGGGGATCGCCGCCTTGGCACTGCTGACTTCAGGATCATTCCCTGAGTGGGGCTGGGCTGTGCACTGGAGCACATGTAGCAGTCACCTGTCCCCACCCACTAGAAGCCAGCGGCAGCATCTCAGTTAGAGTGACCCAAACCGTGGGGCCAGAGTCGTAGGACAGTGGGGAGGGGGGTTGCCTTGCATACACCTGGGTTTGATTCCTGGCACCCCATATGTTTCCCCAAGCCCACCAGGAGTAATCTGTGTGCACAGAATCAGGAGTAAATCCTGAACGACATTGGGTGTGGTCCCAAAACCACAACAACCAAAAACAAACAAACAAAACTGGGCCTCCCCAGCCGCACACGCTGGGGGAAAAGGCAGCTCAGAGAGAGAAGGGAGGACCAAATAAAGGGTGTTGGGAGGATCCTCCCAGGATGGGAGATGAGTGCTGAGAGTAGATTTTAGACTGAACATGATTGCCACTCAATGCCTCTGTTGCAAACCACAGCAACCAAAAGGAGAGAGAGAACAAGGGGGAATGCCCTGTCACACAGGTAGGGTGGGATGGGGGGATGGGGGGTGGGAGGGATACTGGGATTAGTGATGGTGGAGAATGGGAACTGGTGGAGGGATGGGTACTCGATCACTGTATAACTGAAACCCAAGCACAAAAATTTGTAAGTCTACAACTGTACGTCATATTGTTTCACTAATAAAAATCTAAAGGAAAAAAAAAAACTGGGCCTCCCTGGGCCTGGGGCTGGCTCAGCCAGCAAGTGTCTGCCTTGTAAACGTGAGGCCCTGGGGGGTAGAGAACCAGCCTGGTGTGCTGGAGATAGCAGGGTCTACCCCCACCCCACTCCAGCTCCACAACAACAGGTTCCTTCACTGGCACGCCACCACTTTGTGTGAGCACCACAACTGAGTGTACAACCCCCAACACCAAGACAACATAGCAACAAAATAAAAGGCAACACAGCAACACACAGGATGGGAGGAAAGAGGCGCAAGTCATTCAGCGAATCAGGAACTCACACCCTTGGGATTGGAGAGATGACATTTGCCTTGCATGATTTGGACTTGGGTTCGGTCCCTGGCATCACATATGGTCCCCTGAGCACAGCTGAGTATGGCCCAAAAGCAAAAATAGGAGAAAGGGGGTTTCATAACCCATATATAGTGGATATATATCAAGCAGATACTGTCTATATAAGGAACGGCTATATCTAGGGCTGGGCTGCCCTGCACGCATGAAACCTGGGGAAGGGAGGGAGGGAAGGAGGGAGGGAGGGAGGAAGGGAGGGAAGGAAGGAAAACAAAAGAACAAGAAGAAAGAAAGACACAAATGGAAGGAAGGGAGAAGGAAGGAAGGAAGGAAGGAAGGAAGGAAGGAAGGAAGGAAGGAAGGAAGGAGTTTAAAAACTCCCACATCTCAACCACCACCACCACCACCAAAAGTCAACATGACTTAAAAAAAAAAAAAAAAGGTCAAAGGATCTGAATATGCCTTTCTCTGGAATGAGTATAGAAATAGCCAACAACTGCATGGAAAGATGCCCAACATCACCAATCATGAGTGAAGCGAAATGAAAACCTGAACCACAGTGGTAGATCAGCCCACACTTTCTCTGACGGGTGCTAATGAACAGAAATTAAAAGTGTCAGTGAGGAGGGTGTGGAGAAATTGGATCTTTGCCTCCTTCTGAGAAGACCGTAAAAGGCACAGCTGCTGTGCAAAGTTGCATGGTCACTTGATCACTTGACTTCCTGTTAATCGTCGATTTGCTAGAGCGGGCGTTAGTAACGTCTCCATTTGTCCCTGTTGCGTGCTAGTGTAGCCCAATGGCGTCTGTTCGCTCGAGGAACATGAAGGGCCTCAAACCGATCGTTCATGATCTTGATGAAGAAGTCTGACCATCTGGTAGGTGGGCGGCCACGCGGTCTTTTGACATCCCGTGGAATCCAGTCGGTAACAGCTCTAGTCCAGCGGTCATCTTTAAATCTCATTATGTGACCAGCCCATCTGATTTTTGACACCTGGGCAAACGAGACAGCGTCCCTGATTCTTTTTTTTTTTTTTTTGTAGGAGTACTGCTATTTATTCAGCCACTGATTAGCTGATTGAATTGTGCATGAACTCCACCTTACTTTTTTTTTCCATTTTTTATAATTTTACATAATATAATTTTTTATAATATTGAATCACCGTGAGAGCAGTTACAAAGCTTTTGGGTCTAAGTCTCAGTCATACAATGAAACACCCGTACCTTCACCAGTGCCCATTCTCCACCACCAAAAATCCCAGTATACCCCCATCCCACACCCTCCCCCTGCCTGTGGGGCAGATGATTTCCACAATACTCTCTCTCTACTTTGATCACATTCACTATTTCTACACCAGACCCACCATTATTTGAGATTTTACCCCAACACTCAGATCTGCTGAAAAGGCAACAATAGACAATTTGTGTTCTATTGCTGGTTATGAATAACATATGATGTCGTGTGGCTGCAGTAGGGCCATGTGGTTTTGAAATTCCAAAATTTTAACACTTAAATCTGGAGGGATTTCTGCCAGAAGCCACTGGGTTTCGAGATCTGCTCCTGAGTCTCTGGGATCAAGGCCGTTGAGCAGCTTGATGAGGAGCCAGAGAGGCCGTTCGTGGGCGATGACTTGGGGTCTCGTTGGGGTGGGGAGGACAGGCCCGGCTCCACCCCCCCCCCATCCCGTGAGGCCCAACAAGTTTCGTCACTGCGGGCCCAAGCCTGACTGTCCAATGGCCTCTGGAGGATGACAGCCACCAAGTCGCCAAGAGGGAGCAGGCGGAGGGACAACACCCTTTCCTCCCTGGGGTGGCCCGGGACAGTAACGTACTGTGGAGTCCGGATGCATTTCTGCCAAAAGCCACTGGGTTTTGAGATTTGTTTCCGAGTCTCTGGGATCATGGCCGTTAAGCAGCTTGATCAGGAGCCAGAGAGGCTATTCGTGGGCGATGACTTGGGGTCTCATTGGGGTGGGGAGGACAAGCCCGGTTCCACCCCCATCCCATGAGGCCCTGTGTGTCTCGTCACTGGGGGCCCAAATGTGACTATCTAGTGGCCTCAGACGGATGGCGGCCACTGGGCCGCCAGGGGGAACAGGCCAAGGCACGAAACCTATTCCCACCTGGGTTGGCCCAGCACCGGTAGCCTACTGCAGAGACCAGACACATTTCTACCTAAAGCCACTGGGTTCTGAGATTCGTTTCTGAGTCTCTGGGATCATGTCCATCAAGCAATTCAATCAGGAACCAAAGAGGCCTTGCCTCCAATTATATAGCTGAGCCGGAGGTGGTTTGTGGGTGTGTTTCCCACATACCTAACTTTTGGCCGTTTACTTTCTTTGTAAACTTTGCCCCAAGTTTTTGGGGTCTGGCCAAAGGCACAGCAGCAATTTTGGGGTATCTGGAAGTCTGAAGGCACTATGAGGCTGCTGATGCACTCGCCTCACAGGTACAGATTGACCTGCTGGCGGCACCATACCCCCAGCGTCCCTGATTCTTGATCGTCGACGGAGGTTGAAACTCCGGATTCTTTCTCTCATTTGAGTGAAACGTGATATTCCAAGCATAGCTCTTTCAATTCCTCTTTGGGAGACCCAAATAGCGTTCTCATCCTGTTTGCGTAGGGTCCAGGTCTCTGAGGCATATGGAATCAAAGAGATGTGCCCGGAGCCGGAGCTTCTTCATCCTCTTAGCTATTTCTTCGACGCTCTTGAAGGCGTTCCAAGCCGCTCTCTTCTTCCTGCGCAGCTCGGGTGCCAGGTCATTTGTCATGTTGACCTCTCGACCTAGGTACACATAGCTGTTGCATTCAGAGATGGTCATTCCGTTGAGAGCGAATGGAGCATCAGGAACAAGGCTGTTTCTCATAAACATTGTCTTCGTAAGATTGAGCTGTAGACCGACCTTTCCACACTCACAGTCGAAGTCGGCCAGAATTTGTGCTGCTTGGCTGATGTTTGGTGTTATTAAAACAATGTCATCAGCAAAGCGGAGATGGTGTAGTTGCTGACCATCTATCTTCACTCCCATTCCTTCTAATTCCAGTCGTCACATGATGTTCTCGAGGGTGGCACTGTAATAGGCACAGCTGCTGTGCAAAGTGGCATGGTAGTTCCTCAAAAATGTGACAAACAGCATTACCATATGATTCAGCCATATTCCACTTCTGGGTATATACCCGCAAAGAAGCGAAAGTAGGAACTCAGAGACATTCGTACAATCTGTTTAACTCAGCACAACAGCCAGAAGATGGGAGCCCCTCAAGTGCCTAT